AGTAACAGTACACTGCCCGGAACACCATACTACATACATGAGGCGGAGAGAGTAACATTACACCGCCCGGTACACCATACTATATACATGAGGGGGAGAGAGTAACGGTACACTGCCTGGTACACCATACTACATACATGGGGGGGAGAGAGAAACAGTACACCACCCGGTACACCATACTACATACATAAGGCGGAGAGAGTAACAGTACACCGCCCAGTACACCATACTACATACATGAGGGGGAGAGAGTAACAGTACACCGCCCAGTACACCATACTACATACATGAGGCGGAGAGAGTATGGAACGTTTGTAAAGAATCAATTGGGACATTCGGAACAAAGGAATATCATATAGTAGTTTATAGTTTGTAGTGATTATCAGCTGGGATGATTAGAACCCAAGGGGACACTATACCATGGATGTATGGAGAAGACAGCATAATATGCACATTGGTCAAGGAAATGTAAAACAAAGAGAACACCATACTGCAGTCATGCGAGAAAGCACAAAATTATCCCCTCAGGGTCAGTGATAAATGGAACAAGGGCACAGCCTTGATGTGTTGTCCAAAAGAGTCAAATTCAAATCGGTAAGAGATCATTAGATACTTATCGTTAGCAAATGATATTCTTTCCCTCTAAGGACCTTAATCAGGGGTTTCAATAAGATTTCAAGTTACATGTATCGCACCCCAAGTAGGTGGTTAACTTCAGTACATAGTTCCACATTGACATTCTTCTACTTTTTTTTTTACGGAAGTAGTCGGTAAAATATCTGTACCTGGAAAACTTCTAACCTGTACCTCCATACAGGGAAACTGCAAAAACTGACAAGGCCTTGCATTCCTGTCACTTTTAAGCAAACTCTTTTGCAGGTTCAGAATAGACAGTATTTTGGATGCAAAACTTTGAGAAGAACAGGCAGTGTTTCATCTTGGAAAAAGGGTCAAATCTTCGTTTTCTGCAGCATCACTGAACAGACCAATATGGCAAGAGATTTGTTACGGTTTTATGTTTCACTTGGAGTGATTGGGATAAGTGAACCAGTAGAGCCTCCAAATGGACTGAAAACAATTGTCAACATCATCAACCTCACACAAAAGCTTGACTTTGTACAGTAGTTCAGCATGGTTGAGCTCCTACAAATTTACCTACACCAGTACAGGCTCTGGGGGAGTGAAAAATAAACAAATTGTCAACCTCACAAAGATGTTTGACTTCATGCAGTATTTCAGCATGTTGTAGGTCACACAAATCAACACAAAGAAGTACAGTCTCAAAGGGAGTGACAAATTGTCAACCTCACATAGAAGCTTGACTTCATGCAGTATTTCAGCATGTCAAGCTCCCACACATCAACTGACACAAGTACAAGCTTCGGGGGAGTGACAAATATACAAAATGTCACTCTCGCATTATGTTTGACTTCATACAGTAGTTCATAATTGTTAGGCTCCCACACATTAACAGACACAAGTACAAGCTCCAAGGGAGTGACAGATTGTCAACCTCACATTAAATTTGACTTCTTCTGGTAATCAACATACACTAGTACAGGCTCCAAGGGAGTGACAATCAAATTGTCAACATCACATAAAAACTTGACTTCCTGTGGTAGTTCAGCATTGTCAGGCTCCCACATATCAACAGACACAAGTACAGGCTCTGAGGGAGTGACAGATTGTCAACCTCACATAAAAACTTGACTTCCTCTAGAAGTTCAGCATTGTCAGGCTCCCACAAATCAACAGACACAAGTACAGGCTCTGAGGGAGTGACAAATTGTCAACCTCACATAAAAACTTGACTTCCTCTGGTAGTTCAGCATTGTCAAGCTCCCACACATCAACATACACAAGTACAGACTCCGAGGGAGTGACAGATGCCTGGGTAGACATACCTAAAACAGCAGGAGTTATTGATACTCTGACTTCTGTCTTATCCTCTGCACCTACTAGTATCATCAACCGGTCAAAGTTTCTCAACAGCCTGGCAACAAGCACCTTGTGTCCCTATATCTAAAGGACAAACAGCATACGTGCAATGATAAATCAATCTCAGGCAAGGGCAAAAGTCAGGTGCCAAAATATTAATAGGTTTTTCCGAATTTGTATTTATAGTTTTCAGAAACCATTTAAAAAATCCTGTTCATTTTATGTACTTTAGAAAATATACCAAATGCATATTTTAATTAATCAGTAATAAAATGATCTTTTTAAACAAATCAAAATCAGGAAAAAGAACCTCTCAGAGATCTATCTCTATTAGCGAATGTTCCTAATCTCTACCAAGAGTTGTTGCTCTTTACATTAGCTTTCAAATAACAAACTGATTTTATTTGACTATGTACACAATAAATACCATGTTTATATTATACAGCAATGCATTTATTTCTCTATTCATTTCATAAAACTTTGTAATCGTGACATGTTAACAAGGCGGAATATTATCATTTCTTTGCGCATCTGTCCACTGTGCACCTATACCTGTATCAGAACCCATTGAGGATGTTTAATAAGGTCGTTCTTATCAACCCTAGTGTGACAAAGTCTAACGAAGCCGGTGAAATCTTCCACTTTAGCGAGTCAAAGTCTATCGTTTAACACATGACAAAGCTGTTCTGCCCGATGGGGGATGTTGATGAGTCATGCTGCACAGAAGGTCACTCAAGTGGTCACACTTACCCCGACTGACCTTTGCGGTCAAGGACTTAAGAAACAACCATTACAACCGCAATCCTCAGTATGATTTTTATCTCATTGTGTTACAATGTGTCATAGCACTCACCCCGGTAAGTGTTTAAAGCAACACATTCCGTACAGGCGATATCTTCTTAAAATTATTTACATGGAGACTCATTTTCAAAAGTTTGGAAGCTCAGTTTGAAATTGTTTAAAGTAAAACATTGTCACATACATACATGAAGCTTGGCTAGATAAGTACTGGAGACAAACGGAAAGTCTTTATGATCCTGAAATTGACCTTAATGAACTTGTTTGTCATTGGGATGTCAGCATAGTTGATCTGGATATACAGGCATACTGCCTGCGTCCAGTATTACTATTGTTATTATACATGCTTCGCAAAGTTTTCTAAAAGATTAAGAAAATATGTTTTCAAAATTAAGAAACATTTTCACACAATGCTTGAAGTCATACATCTTTTTTAAATTTCAAAAGTAAAATACATGTACATGTATATCTTTAAAGAAATACAGTCTGAAAATTTGGCAGGGAAAGATTTTCAAAGTTTCAAGTGATACACGTTCTCAAACTATGGTAGAAGAGCTATTCAAAATCTTGAAGAGACACGCACATTAGATTTGGGTATACCATGATCATGCTTTAAAGCAATGAATTATGAAAATAAAGTATGATGAGAGTGGTAAATTAATCACAATTTCAGTCAGGTAAAATTTACTCTTTCACATTTTTAATATTTTCATTACTTAAGGATCCCTGTCCCACTGCACTCTAGTTTTTTCATATATACAGTAACCTCCCCTTAACTGCCATTTGGTTATAACTGTAGCACACTTGGGCCAGGTCACATTTGTTGAAAAGGTAACTCAATCGATTAAAGCGATAATACATCAATCTGAAGTCCAGGGTTCGAATCCCGGCTTAGTATATGTCCCACCATTTTTTTTTACACTCAGATCACTGTTGTTGGTTATATTTTTATTATTTCTCATTGAAGTCCAGCTAGGTATGGTTTTCTTTTCGGAAATGACTCATCAAAGCTATAGTCATGCCGGAAAAATCCAGATTCCAACACTTAGTTACAGATTTTGACAGTGGTACGGGGATCCTTAATAATTTTTGGTTATACACATGTCCATCTTGTCTAGAAGTAGACCGTCCTGTTGTGAAGTGTAACCACAACCAGAACCCTAGACAGGTCAGCAAGGGCCCTGCCATGTGCCTTACCATATCCATATGGTCTATTTTTAGTCAAAGTGACCATGACTAAGAAACGTTCTAAACACCTAATGCACATATATATAAATATCACAGTGTATCACCATGTCAAATTTCAAAAAGGGTCCTCTTTTGAATTCTGAAATAATAAGCATGGATGGATAAACGTATGGATGGACACCGTGATTAATATAGGGCACCAGCATCTACAATGCAGGGCCCTAATTGAAGATAGATACAACATATTTCGAACCCTGGTATCTGCACAGGTCTGACTATGGAGTTTGAGAAATTGCTTATAAAGTATTCATCTTAGTGAAAGAAACTTTTGGTGAAAATGTTGCACCTCGAAGTCCAAGCATTTGTATGAGAAATAAAAGAACATACTAGTAGTTACATTTAAATGGATTATTGGCTAAAAAAATAATCCCTGTCCCATTTCAGGCAAAAAGTATGAGAATTCCACTTAGTTTTTTCATAAAGACAGTACTCTCCCCTTAACCTCATTTCTGATGAACTCTTGTTGATCAGGTACGTAACTCAGTTGGTTAGAGTGACTGTATCATGTTCGGGGGTCCAGAGTTTAAATCCTGATGTATTTTGTATCCGTTTTTATTTTTATGATATCAGAACACTGGTAACATTGTTGTCTTTTTTGTTGTTGATTTCATCTTAATCAATTTTTTTTATGAAAATTCTACAAGGTATGGATTTCTTTTTTTTAGAAATTATTCATAATAGCTATCAATTAAAAAGCTTCTGATTCAAAATTACAGTTTGTAAGGAGATTTGTCAGTTTGGTTTAACAATAAATGCTTAGTGTGTTTTGAACGCAAACAGTAATTGCAAAGTTATTTCGCCAGCTTTCAAAAAACATCTGTTTTCTTTGTCAAGCAAAGAGTGTGAATGACCGATTTCACGAATCCTAACCACTCAAATTCAGTTTTTGGCAGTGGTACAGGAACCTGTAATGTCTGATCTTTAAAAAATAATAATGACAGCAATGACATCAATGACAAATTATTAGGAGTCTACTGAGGTGTAAATGAATTGTTCTGAAAAAATCGTGAACTCACAATTCGCTTCATTGCCTCTTTTTCATTCTCCCGAGTGTCAGAGGGCTGGGCGGGACCCACAAATATCTTCTGTTCCTCGTCGTATTGAAAGTTAAGGTTTTCCAGACTGGACAGGAAGTGGCCGAATTGTCGTATACAGCCCACTCGCAGAAAACACTGGGGAATTATATCAAAAGGTTTAATTAAGCATAATTATCTTTTTAGTGCATGTTAGAGGGATATATACCTGGATGGGGCCAGCCTGAAAGTTCATACAAATACGTTCCTTTCTTATGCTAGTGTACTTTTAATTATTCAATCAGTTCATTGATCATTCATTCATTGTTTATATACAATGAGTAAAAGGTAAAAGTTTTCCACTTCACCAGTAAAGTCCATTTTTGCCCAGTGTTAATATCGTCCTTCACATGTTATTTCTGGTAATGATATGCCATTTACTAATACTCGCTCTTAATAATTTGCCCTCATAACAGAGGGCGAAAAAGGCCAAAGGTAAACAGCAGCAAAAATTCTGCTAACACAATATTTCCTCACTCATCCAGTCACTCCTTTATCTATTGATTCATTTGTTAATATGTAAATTTAGCCATTCTTCTTCATTCTTTCATACCTTTAATTTCCTAAACTTTCCTTCCCTCCTTTATATAATAATAAATATTTGCAATGTATTGATGAATATAAAAAAAAAAAAATAATAATAATTACTAAGCACAAACATAAACTGGGTTATCAAATATGTCTCGTAAGTGCCTGTAAAAATGCACATACCTCCTGCATTTCCGATACGTGTCCCTTCCTTTTGATATTTATTTTAAGACTAGAATGAGCCTCCGCCAAGGGTTGGAAGTGGGCGAGATTGATGTCCTCGCGTAGCGGAAATATTTGGTGCCAATCTTGGCTAGGAATGGAACAGAGAATGCCCTTCACCTCCTCCATCCAACACTGGTCTGTAGGTGACAAAAATAAATAACGTTATGTACAGTTGGTGACCATCAATACATTTCTAATGATAAAAAATGTTTATTTATACTTAATTTCTATCTTTTAATAAACAACTGCTGTGAAGCCATACACCAACTTTGATGTTACTTTTTGGCACAAATCAGAGAATTTCATGTACTTTCTCTTAATAATTAACTTTTTTTCTGTTTTCTATTTTACCGATAGAAATGATTAAAATATGGTATATACAAATATTTAAATTGCTAATTTACTCTGTGATCATGATGCCCTTCTCTGAGAATCTGCTGCAGGGGTTTTTATGGAAAAGGGAGTTTTTTGCTAAAATCTTTGCAGAATTGTCTATAAGGAATGAAGCTTCATAGAATTATGCAATAATATCAAGTTGAAAATGTCTCTAAGAAAAACAAATCCCTTGCATAGTGATATGTTGTAACATGCTACTGCTAATCTCAGTAGATGCTGCGATATGGATTTGGTACAGTATGTCACACCTGAACCTGTAGAGATCATCTACAAGTAAAAAAAACATTAAGCAGACTTGGCCACTTTGGGCACGCGAGAACAATATTCTGTATTTAAGTATACTTTTTAAACTTAAGTCTTGAACATTTGATATTGTAGTGTTTTGTTATTTTCCAATTATAATTTTTATCATTTTTCTGAGATTAATACAATCTTCCACCCCCCTGGGGTGAGATATGGGGAACCCAACCCGAGGGGAAGATTATTATGTTGCCAAACACGAGGCTTTGCCAAGTGTTTGGCAACTTAAGAATCTTTCCCCGAGGGTTGAGATTCCTCTATCTTACCCACAAAGGGGTGAATGATTCTTTTTTCTCTTACCCTGTTCTCCTAATGTGTATCATAGACACAATGTAATGATAACGTTACATGCTAAATTCAGGGTTGACGTGACGTTGATGGATTGTTGACGTGACGTCATTGTATTGTTGAAGTGACGTCATGCCATTGTTATGAATAGGGGAATCCCCCCATCTCAACCCTAGGGTGAGACAAGGAAATCTCACACCGGTAAAAGACTCTGTAAAATAACCGGTAGTAAGAGAATAAAATATCCAGATTCACACTACAGATTAGTGCGGTTTCATTTCATCACTGCCTGAGGGATGAGCTTACCGTGTTCAGCCAGAACCGTCTCCAGCGGTAGGATGTTACACAGGACTGAAAGACGATGCCACAGGGACTGTGAGCTCTGTAAAATAAAACAGGTAAAGAAAGGGTCTGTTACATAGGATGGACACACAAACACATCGATACACAGGACAGAAAGACGATGCCACAGGGACTGTGAACTCTGTAAAATAACCGGTAAAGAAAGGGTCTGTTACATAGGATGGACACGCAAACACATTGATACACAGGACCGAACAGACAGTCTGATACAGCATTCATTTATCAGATATGATATGTGATGTGACCACCTAAATAGATGGTCTACGACTAAAATTTGATAATACACAAATCAAAGCTTGCAAGATTCATACTAGCAATCATTTTGCTATTTTGTGATTATGATGCAGAAGCACATCAAGATTTGTCATTTTATAAAAGATTATTGGAACTAAATCTTGTATGGAATGCAACAAGAATTATGTAGGTGGGGATGAAATAATATTTCCAAGTCATTATATGACTTATACTTGGTTTTTCAATCAGTTACAGACTCACAGGGGCGGACGTCATATTGATACACATTCAGTCACACTTACCTGAGCACACGTCATTATAACGACACTGGTACACCTCACCCTGTCACACTTACCTGGGCACATGTCATTATAACACCACTGTTACACCTCATCCAGTCACACTTACCTGGGCACACGTCCTTATAACGCCACTGGTACACCTCATCTAGTCACACTTACCTGGGCACACGTCATTATAACACCACTGTTACACCTCATCCAGTCACACTTACCTGGGCACACGTCATTATAACACCACTGTTACACCTCATCCAGTCACACTTACCTGGGCACACGTCATTATAACACCACTGGTACACCTCATCCAGTCACACTTACCTGGGCACACGTCATTATAACACCACTGTTACACCTCATCCAGTCACACTTACCTGGGCACACGTCATTATAACACCACTGTTACACCTCATCCAGTCACACTTACCTGGGCACACGTCATTATAACACCACTGTTACACCTCATCCAGTCACACTTACCTGGGCACACGTCATTATAACACCACTGTTACACCTCATCCAGTCACACTTACCTGGGCACACGTCATTATAACACCACTGTTACACCTCATCCAGTCACACTTACCTGGGCACACGTCATTATAACACCACTGTTACACCTCATCCAGTCACACTTACCTGGGCACACGTCATTATAACACCACTGTTACACCTCATCCAGTCACACTTACCTGGGCACACGTCATTATAACACCACTGTTACACCTCATCCAGTCACACTTACCTGGGCACACGTCATTATAACACCACTGTTACACCTCATCCAGTCACACTTACCTGGGCACACGTCATTATAACACCACTGTTACACCTCATCCAGTCACACTTACCTGGGCACACGTCATTATAACACCACTGTTACACCTCATCCAGTCACACTTACCTGGGCACACGTCATTATAACACCACTGTTACACCTCATCCAGTCACACTTACCTGGGCACACGTCATTATAACACCACTGTTACACCTCATCCAGTCACACTTACCTGGGCACACGTCATTATAACACCACTGTTACACCTCATCCAGTCACACTTACCTGGGCACACGTCATTATAACACCACTGTTACACCTCATCCAGTCACACTTACCTGGGCACACGTCATTATAACACCACTGTTACACCTCATCCAGTCACACTTACCTGGGCACACGTCATTATAACACCACTGTTACACCTCATCCAGTCACACTTACCTGGGCACACGTCATTATAACACCACTGTTACACCTCATCCAGTCACACTTACCTGGGCACACGTCATTATAACACCACTGTTACACCTCATCCAGTCACACTTACCTGGGCACACGTCATTATAACACCACTGTTACACCTCATCCAGTCACACTTACCTGGGCACACGTCATTATAACACCACTGTTACACCTCATCCAGTCACACTTACCTGGGCACACGTCATTATAACACCACTGTTACACCTCATCCAGTCACACTTACCTGGGCACACGTCATTATAACACCACTGTTACACCTCATCCAGTCACACTTACCTGGGCACACGTCATTATAACACCACTGTTACACCTCATCCAGTCACACTTACCTGGGCACACGTCATTATAACACCACTGTTACACCTCATCCAGTCACACTTACCTGGGCACACGTCATTATAACACCACTGTTACACCTCATCCAGTCACACTTACCTGGGCACACGTCATTATAACACCACTGTTACACCTCATCCAGTCACACTTACCTGGGCACACGTCATTATAACACCACTGTTACACCTCATCCAGTCACACTTACCTGGGCACACGTCATTATAACACCACTGTTACACCTCATCCAGTCACACTTACCTGGGCACACGTCATTATAACACCACTGTTACACCTCATCCAGTCACACTTACCTGGGCACACGTCATTATAACACCACTGTTACACCTTATCCAGTCACACTTACCTGGGCACACCTCATTTTAACACCACTGTTACACCTCATCCAGTCACACTTACCTGGGCACATGTCATTATAACACCACTGTTACGCCTCATCCAGTCACGCTTTCCTGGGCACACGTCATTATAAAACCACTGTTACACCTCATCCAGTCACTCTTACCTGGGCACACGTCATTATATAAAACCACTGTTACACCTTATCCAGTCACACTTACCTGGGCACACGTGATTATAACACCTCTGTTACACCTCATCCAGTCACTCTTACCTGGGCACACGTCATTATATAACACCACTGTTACCCCTCATCGAGTCACACGTCATTATAACACCACTGGTACACCTCATCCAGTCACACTTCCCTGGGCACACGTCATTATAACACCGCTGTTCCACTTCCTCCAGTCACACTTACCTAGGCACACATCATTATAACACCTCTGTTACACCCCATCCAGTCACACTTACCTGGACACACGTCATTATAACACCACTGTTCCACCTCATCTAGTCACACTTACCTGGGCACCCGTCATTATAACACCACTGTTATACCTCATCCAGTCACACTTACCTGGGCACATGTCATTATAACACCACTGTTATACCTCATCCAGTCACACTTACCTGGGCCCACGTCATTATAACACCACTGATACACCTCATCCAGTCACACTTCCCTGGGCACACGTCATTATAACACCACTGTTACACCTCATCCAGTCACACATGAGTTTGACGGTGGAGAGCAGCCCCTCGTTGTGGACCACATCTATAGTATTCTTCAGCTGGTGGTGACTTGTCTCAACCCTGCACAATCAGATATTTTAAGAGTTCAATAGCTTTTTTTAATGAACTTTGACAACATTGATATTTCAACACAATAACATGAAATACCTCACTTAATGTAGCCGCCACTTTGACATCATAATTATATGATTTTATCCAGGATAGAAAAAGTGAAAAGGCTCTTGTTTATAAAATGGAGAAAAAAAACCTTACTGATGTGTTTTGTACAATTAATGAAAATATTATCAGACTTCGTTCAAATTTAAAAAGTTTTCTAAACCACTAATAATGTTATTTTCTTACAAAAAACCATCAAACAGAAAACCTTTATTTGGAATATACATGCTTTTGTTTTTCTTTCTATGTACGATGAGAATGGGAGCCAAATTTTGGCCCCTATGGATTCCAGGGGAAACCCCAGTAGACATTTCAGACTGGTCCGTCCAATTGGTGATTGGTAATTGTGTCTATCGAACTCTCCTTTATAAACTTTTAAAATCATTATAAATGAAAAACACTTAAAACCCTCTTGTCTACTGAAAATTTAAGATTAATTTACTTGAGTTGAACAAAAACGACTACCAACCATTAATCATCTTATTGACAAAGAGCCCTATATCAACAACTACCAAGGTAGCAGAGCACAATAGAAATGACTGGATCTAAAAATAAAGGGCATGTCTCAGAAAAACATGGATAGCGGATTTATCCTGCACAACACACCTACATATATATATATATTTATAAACTACATTTTGAATGCATTTTTTTTTAGAAGAATGATTTTTTTTTCAAAAAGTGATTTTCCCAGATTTGGGACTTGTGAGAACCATGGTTACCACATCAAAAAATGCCAGTAGTAATGTTTTTTCTTAAAACCTTAAATTGAATATCACCTACTCGGTAACAGAAATACTCACGTTTCAGCATAGGTTGTTCAACTGGATTTTTCACAATATTTACACATGTGCTGAGTACAAAAATAGACTAGCTTTTGTTGTGTAGACACAGATTGGTAAATGGCCAAAAACGTAGTCTCAAACCAAATTCGATTTTTTTTTTTTTAAATGTGAAGCCTACATAGTCCACTTCATCATGTATATGCCAATTTTAGTGCTGATTTGTTTTTTTAAACTTTGATACATGTAATATTACATGGGTTATTCATTGTACAAAAATGTCACCCATGGCCACTGTACGCTACTGTACACTGCTACCCAAGGTAACAGTCTTTGTGGAACTTACCTGTCCCCTGACCCAGAAGTACTACTGTAGTCTTCAGTCTCCGTATCATTTTCTACATCAGCTCCAGATTGTTCTGCCAGACATACAAAAAAAATGAATATAATCCAAAAATCAAGGAAATTTAACATACATGCAAAGGACAGCATCAATGAATGGGCAATCTACAATCATTAACGCATTATGTCACACAATACTGATCAATAATAAACTTTACTTGAGGTGAATATCTAGTTATATGGACCAAGAAAAGTGATATTGACCGAGATGAAGTCAGGGTTAACATCCCTTTCAGGTCTATATAACCACATATTCACTTCAACAAAGTCCTTAATTGTTACATTAAATATGTGTATGGTATTGGTATGGCCATCAGAAATAAGTGTTATATAGTGTGAGGATCCCAATAAAATACATACTTAGTCATGTTACAACTGCAGTGACATCATAACAGAAAGTGGACCTGCTGTTTCTAAAAATAGTGTAATACTAAGTCAATATCACAAATTATTATATGCATGATCATTTCTCGCAATCACATTGGTCGGATCCTATACACGTGACCAGTCCTCAAAAACTCATGTAGACTGGTTATCCGGTGAATATCGATTTCTAAATATAGCCTGTATGGAAAATCCCCGGAACCTGTCGTAGCGCATGCGCAGTTAGACTGGAACGCAATCTGTCAGACGACATTAGAAGATGGCTGCTGGCGAACGTTTCTCCTCCGTTAGGAAAATTCCCAAAACTATTCGAGGATAAAGATGCTGTTAACGTAAAAAAAGGCCATTGAACACGCAGTTCATTTTCTCCATGCTTACCTTAAGAAAAAGAATCTAGACGATGCCTTCGAAAGCTACAATGCTGAACTGTTGTATTCAAACCTGGCTAAATTTTACATGGAGGCTCGCGTACAAAAATCAGTTTTGTTTTGTTTTGTTTTATTTTATTGTTGAAGAACATAATAAAACAGTTACGGCTTTTGTGCTGGTAAATATGATGTGATATGAACCTGAAAGAGTGATATTGACCTCGGCTTCGCCTCAGTCAATATCACTCTTTCAGGTTCATATCACATCATATTCACCAGCACAAAAGTCCATAACTGTATATTAACAACCTGCATGTGTTTATGGTCCAAACAACGAGAATGTACCGGTAGGAACAAACTGTGTCGTGCACTTACCAAAGTCCCTGGGTAACATACTAGTCAGTACATCAGTCTCTATTTAACCACACCAAAGTCTGCCAGGGCCATATTAACCTCTCTTTTTAAATTTTACTTTCCGGTAGGTTCATTGGAGGTGGTGATGGTATGGGGGGGGGGTTATATAAATAACTTATATTTTGCCTCTTTTAAACCTTGCTTGAGTCTGTAGAGGGGGGCATGCTAACCTATTTATTTGTCACTATTTAATCTTACCGGAGTCTGTGGGGGCCATGCTAGCCTCTGTATCTGTCTCTATCACAAAGTTAGCGAGCTTGTTGGTGATTTCTGCTACATGAAGAGCTTCCTTGCTGGATGCAAAACCTGTCAATGTTGCAAGAGAAATCAATCAAATGTGATGTTTGATGTCAAACATGTGCAGTAAAAAACAGTCTAAACAGGAAAACATTTTCACTGAAATATTTGATCAGTTGATACAGAATGTCAGGTATTGACATTTAAATGAAAAATAAGTACATATAAGTTTATATACTTTGAAAAGTAGTACTGATGCATGAACAGTTACATGGTTTAAACATTCAATATCAACGTTCGGTAATTTAGGTGAATGTTGACAGAACAAATATTTCATCTTTGTGGAAATAGCCGATAAGGAAAGGCTGGAATAAACAGGGTGCAATAACAACACTTCATTCATCAAGATTGGTAAAACAGTGATGGTTTCAGGAGTAGACAAGGCTTAGATTGGACAGGGTTGATATACTTTATTTTTAAGAGAGGAAATGCTAGAACCAAAAATCAAAGCTGGTATAAAAAAGAACCCAGACAAGCCAGGGGTAAGATTAGACAGGTTACACTGTAATTTTAAATCAAAATCACAAATACTATTCCTTCTCGCTTCCTGGTATAAAATACTGTAGAAATTAAAGAGATTGGAAAAACAATATTTAACTGAATAAGACAGGAACATTATTAGCTTTTAACAGATATCTCTCCCATCTCAGCCCCCAGCCCTACGCCCGAACCATGAGTCTTAGCTAGGCTCTTAGCCTTACCTGGTGGAACAGGCACTTCTTTCTTTCCTTGAATGACATCTTTACAGTTCTCAAACTCTGCCACATCACATTCATACGCCCTGCTATTCTGCGGGGACAATCGCACATTTTGTCGCAGAAAAGATGCAGACGATGAGTATAGCTCTGAAGAGAGATGAGCAAGTTTTTCTTTTTCTGCCTGATTAATCCAAATGGCGTTATTAGCCTCTGGTACACCACCAGGGAAAACTGTCTGTGGATCGTGAGAGTTCGAGTTTGCAGAGGATCTGCTTGCTTCTGCAAATCCTGGTTCTAACTCCTGACTTTCCATCAAGGCATCAGACATATCCGAATCAGATTCATTTGTGAAAAATCCTACAAATTCTTCTTCCTCTTCTTCCGAGTCCCCCGACAGGAAGTGGTCAGATAAATGTTCGGCACCTGAAATAAAATAAATTTCAACTTATTTAAAGAAACAGTAAATAGATTTGACTTTATGTAGTTATATTTTCACATTGACGTGAAAAAATAAAGTTCCCACACTGCTAAATTTACAGTTTCCAGATCCCTGACCCCAATTCTGACATCTGTCTAATCTGGCTAATAGGTTGCATTAGACAGGGTGTCAGATTATACAGGTTTCAATTCCTTTTTTTATTTTAAACATAATGTTCTATTATCAACAGTTGTTATACCGTATTTATCCTGCAATAAATCAAGGGGCCCACCCATAGTCTCTGACTGAAAGTAGGGGGTGGGCTTATTACAAAACAATCAAAAAACTTATGTTGGCATTTCTTCGTAACTGCAGTATATATTGGTAGGCTTATTACCGAGCAAGGGCTTATAAATATGCACATGACAAATTTGGATTTAGGCCGGCCAAATGCTTACTATTTCCTGTCGGTATGTATTCCAAGATAAGCATATCAACATCTCTATCTTAAAAATGCTGTTGATGTTGTGTCATCTTTGTACCACACAAGGTGATATTCTTTAATCTCTCAAGTGAAAATTGATGTTTCATTTATGGGGATATTTTCCCCAACACCTCTCTCTGACCCTTATTATATACTGTTCAGTGATAATGTGTATCCCCAGGTTTACCTTCACTGAGGTCGGAGACATCGGACAGGTCAGAGCTATCGTCACTATTGTGCCGTTTTCTTCTCCGCCGCTTAAAGCTCTTAATCCGAGATGACTTTGATTTCTGTCAGAAAAAGTGATTGCAATCAACAATAGCTATATAGAAAAACATCAGGAAACATTGCCAATTAGGAAACAAATTGCATCCAGCAAAATGTACTGATAACAGTGCACTGCCATTTCTATACATCGTTGGCCATTTCTAGGTTACAAGCACCATGATTTCGCAATACATGTATGACCATTTATAACATGCAGAATAGTTACAAATTATATTAACTAGGTACTGTCTTTTTTCTCCTGTGGTCCCTATTCTTCTTGGATTCGCTAAAATGTGGTCCCTATTCTTCTTGGATTCGCAAAAATGTGGTCCCTATTCTTCTTGGATTCGCAAAAAAGGGCAATTTCATGGGATCTATTTTATTGCAAATTTCAGCTCTAGTGGCTAAGGTACATAAATGCTGAGGTAAGGATGGGATAAATTCCTACTAATTTCGCGGGTTGTGTTTTTGCAAAATAATTGTTTCAGCAAAAATCGTGAAAATTGGAAACATGTGAAAACTAGAATTATGTCAGTGTGACATTAAAGCCGCTCACCACTTTAAATTTATTGCTTCAGTAACACGTTAAACATCAATATCTACTATAATACCTCAGATATGTTCTGTGTTCTGCTAATTGAAAATCAGGTCATTTGATGATGTTGCCTTTGGAATTTCCAAAATCAATCACCTGTTAAATGATGCCTTAAAAACATTCTCCCTCTCCTCTTTTTTCACCCNCAAAGCCGTTCACCACTTTAAATTTAATTGCTTCCGTAACACGTTGAGCATCAATATCTACTATAATACCTCAGATATTTGTTCTGTATTATGCTAATTGAAATTGCCTTTTGAATTTCCAAAATCATTCACCTCTTAAATGATGACTTAAAAACATTCTCCCTCTCCTCTTTTTTCACCCTCTTTAAGTGTGACGCAATGTTGTAATTTTCATTAATTAGCATCCTCCGATGATGTGACATGAGCATTTACATGCATAATGGCAATCGGTGAATGGATATTAAAGAATAGGTGCATTTGTGCTTGTGAAATGAAAGATAATTAACAGTAGTGGGAAAACATGCATGGAGAAAAGAGACATTGTACTCCTTTTCATTTTATTTATTTTTTATTTATATTAATAATAATTATCAATATATGTAGTGACTTTATTTACTGTCATTGAATACACAAAATCTCACAAATGTTCTTGGAATACATTTGAATTATATCTCTCAATGCGACTTTACCAACGTAAGAGTTATTTCCCTTATACCGGATTGGATAATATTTTGACACGGCGCGAATTCTTGTCAAACAGCAGCGGCAGTTGTGTCATGTTCTTAAATTGTTACATTTTCATAAATATCAATCCGAGAAAAAGCATGATATGTCATATTACGTTCACATTTGAAACATCAAAATAAAGGTTATACTTCATCCCTCATACAGTTTATAAGTATATAAATTTACTTCTTCCTACTACAGACAGCGTCAATGCTTGACAGGCTTCACATGTGCTTTTTTCGAATCATATGTGTTTCACACGCGTAAACCTCCTCAGACCTCAATCCGAGTTGCTAAAACGCTCAAACCTAGTGCACTAATTTCACCACCACAACACTCGTAGAATGCACCGGAGATAAACATTTTGTTTTCAGCAATTATTTAAAGTATGGATTATTACTTAGAGATCAGTATCAGAAGACTTTATGTAACCCACAGGTGAGTGTCCGAGATTCTACTTTCTATTTACGATAACGAAACCATATAGCGGAAGCATGCAAGACTGAATCATACGCATGCACCCCGAACGGAAGTGGGTCTGTCATTTCGTTCTCTGGACAGAATTAATAAGCCGCTCGGCTCTCGCCAAGAGCGGCTTAAAAACAATGTTACAATTAATGCTTTTAAATATTTCCAGTTGTTGGTCCTCCTTGATCAATACAGATTGGTTTCTAATGATAGTTTACCAAAATATTGTTCTGAACAGGCATGACTCTATTATATAGGTCACTCACTGTGACTCATGTTTTTTAAGTAAAATTATGACCTTGACCTTGGACAAATTATAACACAATATCTCTGTGACCGGATGATGATGTCACACATACTTCTGGCTTTTCTTGCTGGATTGAATTTTCGGTACCAATTCTTTTGTATTGGGAACTGTTGTTGTGATTCTGAGATGACGGTGGAACTTCTTCTGCTTCCTGTCCATGTGCACGATGGGAAATTCGGCCATTTTCTTCAGGGTCTGAAAAATCCTCCATTTCTTCATCAACTGTGGAAAAAGAAGGTCAAGGTCTTGCAAATTGATGGCAAGGTCACATTTTGTTTTATTTTATGGCCCGTCAACAATTCCAGTTAAAAGTTAAAAAGATGTAAAAAAACATCAATAGCAAATAAAGCGTTTGTAAAATATGGTATTATATTCCTTGTACAGATTAATTGAATGTAAATAATCATACATAAATGACACAGAAACTGTATAAAACAATTTTCATTGTTGTTACATTGTAGATTTTTTTGCACATTTGTTGAAAATCGTCGTGTTGGATCATCAAATAAATGGTTGGTCACAAGCATGGCAATAGGGTTGATTTTCACTTCGTGAAATGTTTGAATGTGGCCTACACTACATAATCGTGAGTTGGCAAATTCTTCTCTGCGATTTGCTCTATGTGTTGCGCATGAAATTCAAGGTAACAGAAAATGCATCAAGTATATATATAAGCAACAGAGTGCAGGTTTATTTGATGCACAGAAGTTAATACCTAAACTGAATCTCATATCCAGATTTTAAAACCAGACCCTCAAAGAGATGCCTTTATTAATGTTTATATATTAATTATGTGCCTGTTGGCCTTCATCCCTTCTGTGTCAATCTTACCATCTGCCACTGGCAGTGATTTTACAGAATTTTACAATCTTTTATTTCAAACTGAATATTTTTTATATTTTTTATTTATTTCAAAACTGCTACATGTGCTGCATAATTCACCTCAAAAACCAGTAAAATTCCAATGGTACAGGCTAAAAACCAGTAAAATTCCAATGGTACAGGCTAAAACCAGTAAAATTCCAATGGTACAGGCTAAAACCAGTAAAAATTCCAATTGTACAGGCTAAAAACCAGTAAAATTCCAATGGTACAGGCTAAAACCAGTAAAATTCAAATGGTACAGGCTAAAAAACCAGTAACATTCCAATGGTACAGGCTAACAACCAGTAAAATTCAAATGGTACAGGCTAAGAGATTGGCAACATGACATTTTGATGATCATGACGAGACATTTATTTTTCTTTCATTGAAAAAATATATTTTATTTAATATAATTCATTCTTGTTTTACTGCTGATAAAACTACTGACCATCTTGATGAAATTCTCTGTGAAGCAGTATGTTTGGGTTCTCTTTCTCGTCCAGGGCTGCGTGGAGACGGATGACGACATGATTCAGGATGTGTGAGAACAGTGCAAGGAGGAACGCTGTAGCTGCTGTCACCTGCCTGGATCCTGCAAACATCAAACAATAAGGTGAAGAGCTCCATTATTAGAGATAATAACTTATCCCATTTAAATCCTACTTTATAGTCCGACTTTCTGTCAGAAAAAAAACCCAAGATGACGCCGTCATCGATATCCCCCGCTCATAGTGTACACGTCAATATAAAACAACTAATTGCTGGTCACCAAGTCACTGAGTCACCGAGTCACCAAGTCACTGAGTTGCTGGTTACCAAGTCACTGAGTCACCAAGTCACAGAGTCACCAAGTCACCAAGTAACCGAGTCACCAAGTCACCGAGTCACCAAGTCACTGAGTCACCAAGTCACCAAGTCACTAAGTTGCTGGTCACCAAGTCACTGAGTCACCCAGTCACCAAGTCACTGAGTCACCGAGTCACCAAGTCACTGAGTCACCCAGTCAGCAAGTCACTGAGTCACCCAGTCAGCAAGTCACTGAGTCACCGAGTCAATGAGTCACTGAGTCACCAAGTCACTGAGTCACCAAGTCACCAAGTCATCAAGTCACTGAGTCACCAAGTCACCGAAGCGTGCAATGTAGGTCAAATTCAGCGCCAGCCTGGATGCATCATTCATGAACGTATCGAAGGGCTAGCAGTTGTAGTAAAGTGTTCATGGACAAAACCAATACTTCTTAGCTGGTAACATGTTACAATCACCTGATCTGATTTCCTCAAGGAGATTAACGAATGAGAATTTTTTTTCAAAGAGATTTCTCTGTCACACCCTCAAGGTAGGGGATGATTATTTTTCTCCCATCCTATTATTTTAGTCACAGCTCCACCGACAGCAGTCTGCCATGTTTGTAAACAAAAACACATGTGGGGTATGCGTATCGTCATTCACTTTTGATGACATCACAATTACCGTTGAAGCATTTTAATGACGTCACAATTGAACACGTGCTAATCGGCACAAGGCTATCTCCCCCTAGGGGGGTGATAAGCTGATCTTTTCCGGCTAAAACGGGGGACACACCTGTGAAGGGTGGGAGAAAAACGGTTAACAATTAACCAATGACAAACCTCGTAACTGAAGTAGATGGATGGTGGCCATACACATGACAACAAACTTGAAGACCATGTCATCGTCGAGGTGCTGCAGTCCATCGTGGCTATAAATGTCAGGCTCATGGAACATACACAAGTTAAAGTTCTGAAGTGTTGCCTGGCAACTGTCTTGCAAATCTGACGAGTCTGGACTGAAAAATAAAGACAAGACAATGTTTGTTTTGTATTTAACTTCAAACAACCTCATATGTTGAATTAGTCTATATCATTTCTTCTGACCGTAAACGGTGTATAACATATCTTTTTGTTTTGATTTTGATTTTTAAAACCACACCTATCTAATTTCATGAAAGCAATACATATACATGTATTTAAATAAAATACTCAGAGGTCAGCAAGGGCCCGACCCCTATTGCACATCTACATACAACAGTATATCACAATGTCCAATTTCAAAATGACTGATTTATTGGATTTCGAGATAATCTCTGGAAAGGAAAGTGTGGAGGAACGGACAGGTGGACACCAGGATCACTATAGGACACCCACATCTCCAATGCAGAGTCCTTATAACATAAATATGGTTCAATGGCTGGGGTGACAACAAATACTTTAAATACTTATTAGACATAAATGATCAATATAGACACGGCTTACACAACAGTTCATATAAGTCATCAGGACACAAGCATAACTTACTTTTTAGATGTATCATGGAAGATGCTTAACAGATGAAGGAACTGGATCAGAAACACTTTCAGGTCCTGGAAACTGTAACAGAAATGCAGTTGTTCATTTGTCCAACCCTATAAAGAGACCACCTGTGTTAAGAGACCACCTGCGTTAAAAGACCACTCTTAAAATCATCCATTGTTTTTTATTGTATATTAGTAAATCTTCTCCACGGTTTGAATTTCATCCTTTTTCACCCTCTGTGATGAGGTTGGTTTTTTTGTGTGTGCAAAAATTAGTATAAAGTATATGGCATGGTACATTTACCAAATACAATTTCAAAGGTAAAATTAACAATGGGGGGTATGGATTTTATTGGTGAAGGAGGAATATCTGACAGGGCAAAAAGTTTTTGACAAACAGTATTTTCATGTTGACTGAACTGCTATTATGAGACTACTTCATGGATTTTCCAAAGGTGGTCTACAAATACAGGTTTGGCTGTTCTATAATGAGCAGCTGTATCTTCAGAGAAATCCTTGGCATAGCTGACAAATTTTACACTTCTGCAACTATTTATTAATACATAAAACCCAAAGAGAATCAATGGTAGTAACAGATGTTGCAGGAAATGAAGACACAGTCAAAGTACAATGCCGTGAAAATTTCATCTCAAAAGATGAAGTTCTAAGAGTTCCATTAATTCCAGAATGTTACTCGGTAACAAAGTATGGCCAAATCTGTATTCCTGTATCCCTATTATACATTGATCAGATGTGAATGTAAGGTAGGTCATTAAAGATATGCAAAACTAGTAAGGCAAGTAATTGTAACAATGACATATACCTATGATACTAAAGAGCTGCTAAACAATCATACTTACCCCTTTCACCACTGAAGACCACAATGGACTCATCCAGATCAATGCATGGTAGAGTTTACTACAGATACATAGGGGTGAAAGGGTTAAGTAAAACCAACAAAAACTTAGGGTGAATTAAAATTGGAAACGCCTATCTCTGCCCTTCATGTGTCTGAGGAAGATGTAAGACTTCTTCTTACCTCTGTGATTCCAGGGGAAGACTGTGATTTGTTGATTGCTTTAGCTCCAAGAATTTCTTGCGATTTTTTTCAAAAAGCCGCTGTAAGTTTCCTTCAGCCCCTTCAAACGGCTTTTCACACACCATACTGAAATACATGGTAGAGATATTTACAAACATAGTGTTAGGGTAAAGGAATAAATATGACAAGAAAGAAATAAAGTCCTTATCTATATCTAGTCTTGAAGCAATGAAACATTTTATCATGGCTTAGCGAATAACAAAATTAACTAAGACAGCTACAAGTTTGTGTCAACATGGACATTTTGCTCTAGGTATTTTGTTCTTTAAATTGAATTAGGCAACACAGTCAAATATCTTTTTCTTCAAAATCATCGAAAAATTTGCAATTCGTATACATAACATATCCATAAATGACCATGATATATAATGGGGGGTTTTAAAAGAGAGGTGTGTTTATTACTGATGTAACATAAGAAAAAGAATGCAACAACCAGACAGAGGTTCCAACTCGGGACCTTCCTAGACAAACGCTTTAACCAATTGAGCTACCTGGGCCCGTCTTCATGAAACCATTCTCATGCTCAAGCATGAATTTTGTGCTCAAGCCAAATTTCTTGTTCAAGTTAAAAAATATTTAAAAAATCGTATTTTGTCAAAGTTTTGGACAAAAATTGAAGAGACTTGAAGCCGAATACTGTTTTCAATATTTACATTTGACTTTTTGATCGCTAACATGATTTAGGCGAGTAACAAGAAAGCTGGGTTGAGCACAGAATCCATGCTTGAGGATGAGAACGGTTTCATGAATACAGGCCCTGGTCGTAGACGATCGACCCATCAAGTTCCGCTATATTCCTCCCTCTTTCAACGAAGTCTTCGACCCCGAAGACATACGAAACCTTATACCACCTTCAATGGGAATATTTCGTTGGGCGCAAGTAACAGAAGAAAGAGAAATGCAACGGCCAGACTAAGGTTTGAACTCGGGACACTCCGAACTCTAGATGGATGCTCTAACCAATTAAGCTACCTGGCCACCGACGATCGACCCAGTCCAGTTCCGCTACACTGAGAATGGACTTATCATTAATCAACAAAGGTATATTATACCACATTAAATACAATAAAATAAGGTGAGAGTTCTATCAATACTTACCAGCGTATGTAGTGGTAGGCAGCCTCACAGTGGACATAGCGTGACCCACTCAGAGTTCCAAGCTGGTTGTGTGGCATACCTGGATAACAAAGAATATATTATATGTCAGGGGAGATAACTCCAGACTGCTTATCAATCATCAACCAGAAATATCATTTTCTTCACTCCCTTTGACCTTTTTCAATGACTTAAGCAAATCATTTTGGCAAAACAAAATTATTGCCTTTTCCAGTAGATTTTCTCATGAAATAGACTGAACAAAATTATATATTAACTTTGTCGTTATTTTAATCAAAAGCATGTCTTAAAGTTTGAAAAAAATAAACATAAGGAAAGAAAATCCTTTCTTCAACTTCATTTCTATAGGAATTTTTCCACAACAGGACCTAATTTAATCTATCATCATATTGAGACTACTTAATGACTGAAATAGATAAATGTATCAACCAGAGGCAGATTGGTGAGGTCGGACACAGAATGTAGCACGGAAATTCAAAACAATTTTGATCAGATAATCAGGTTGGGCAAATACAAGGGAGATATATGGAAAAGTTATTGATATTCTGTATGCTATTAACTCACCATTATCTGGACACAAAGCTATGGCCTGATGGTAGAAACGTTCTGAAGCTGATTTACTGAACCCTTTATCAAAGTCTTGTTGGTAACGTGCTGAAAAAAACATTTCAAAAACTTAAAACTTTTGTCTCAAGCATTTCAGTGACCTGGAAAGCATGAAATTGAGAAGATATTTTAATATATATGTACCAGTTTTATTCCCTTTGTAACATACTAGAATTTTTGAAGTCCTCAAAATTATACATGACAGAATTTCTTAGAATTTATTTTTAAGCCTTAAAATATATTTCTGGGCCATGCAGTTTCTCAAAGAATTTTTTGGATGCCTTTAATAATATTTCATATTGAGGTTTTATCAGAAAATTGTCATTTTACATTTAGGCATGTTCATGGTAGATTCTTTGTGAATAGGTCTCAGTTTTAAAGGTTAAAGCATCAGTTCCCAATATTCCCAAAATTGAAGACGATTATGATACACTGAATACTTGGCCTACCAATGTCTCCTAGACACAAAAGACAGCGATGGCAGGCCTTCATCGCCCAGTCCTGGGCGATCGGATTCACATCCTTTCTCCTACTGTTATGTCCAAAATGCTTCCTGTGGCCTGGCAAAACAAAAACATCAGATGTCAAAATTTCCATTCTATGTGTAAGTAACAGGGTTTTATTTGATTTAATTGCCAATCAACACAATAATGTCATACATGGTGACATGGTAGATTCGGGGTAAATGGCCATTACTCCAGAAGAGACATTGGAGTAAATTGATGAGGAACGTGGGCTTTGTTCACAAAGCAGAGGACGGGGAGGAAAACCCTAAACTCTACAGAGGACCCAGATCAGTCACCATGGGACGCAGCAGACAAATTATATATCCTTAAGGGGAATTATATATGATGTTTTTAAGATTTTTTTGTGAGGAAATTCAGTGAATGGGTCCAGTCCTGAGGAGATTTACAAATGAATCTGCATGATCAATCTGAACGATAATAAGGCCATAAAAACTTAATTGTTCATTTCTCGGGTTCGCACGTGTCACATTTTTACCCCCTTATCACTGTTTAGATCGCCAAATTGGAGAGAGAGAAAAAGTGCGTGAAAAAATTAAAGATTTAATCACCCATTTGACATCAAGCATTTTGCCGATAACGGCATGGCCTCGCAGCTAATTTCAGTACAGACATCTTGTTGTTCAACAGTGCTTTTACCGTGGAATGTCATCGGCGGGTACAGTCATGGCTGTGCCTTTGCCGATCTATACAAGAATCTCTCTTAGGGCGGTGGTCTCGGACCATCAGATTGAATTTTTCCGGCCAAATATGTTAATCTTGCGTACATCGTTAGAATTGGACGAAGTGAAATCGAAAGTTTCGACCGAATTATGGCCACAGCAGTGGTTGCATAGTTGAATCTGTTGCATTATTTGGTAGATATATCAAATCAGAAATAACAGACAACACATTGACTGATACTCAATGATTCCATAGTAGTAGTACAATAGTCAGGACATGATATGTATATTACAAAGAGAACTACATGTCGAATGCTCTACCACAATAGGCCCAATAGCTCCAGTATGTCTTGCAGGCTGATGTAAAAACTCTACAACATTATTGTTTAAAATGTAACTTATTTTAAGTAATACATTATAGTATTAATCATAAAACAAGAGGCCCATGGGCCTTAACGGTCACCTGATATATTNCACCCTCCCTTGTCAAATGTTTGAAGATGGTAAAAAAAAGTGCCTCCCTCATCAAATGTTTGAAGATGGTAAAAAAAAGTGCCTCCCTTATCAAATTTTTTAAGATGGTAAAAAAAGTGCCTCCCTCATCAAATTTTTGAAGATGGTAATAAAAAAAAGTGCCTCCCTCATCAGTTTTATGAGGGTTAAAAAAGCAAAAATAATCCTCCCTCCCTCATCATTTTCTGAAAAAATAGGCCTGAGAAACTTATAAATAACTTTGTATGGCCTTAACCCTATCATTTAAATAACAGATTTTAACTCATTCACCCCTGAAGGCACATTTGAACTCTTACAATTCAAAGGAATAGCTCATTATGAAACTTCAGGGGTGAATGAGTTAAATATAAGATCAAATCAGGAGTTGAGCACTTTCTATATATATGCATGTAATGAATGCATCCCAGATCAGAGGAGAGTGATTTTTTTGAAAGACTTAAGAGAGAACATTTGACAAAAGAAAGTTTGGTAGGAGCCGTGAGAATTCTTAATGACCAATGGTTTTCATTTGCTTTCCTTTTCATTTTAAAAGTTCCCTCAAACCCTACACTCTATATGTATTATACCATATTTGGCTACCATACTTTCAAACCCCACTTTGGTTAACAATACTGTAATTTTGATCGCAAAAACCGACCCACCTGTCTTCTGTTCTGGCACCAGATGGAAGTCGAGGACACCATGGAGATTGAGCGAGAATTCGTACTGAAGTCTGAAGAGGAGGTGATTGTAGTAACCTGTTGCCGACGCCAGGTGAGTTCGGAATGCCGACTCCAATGTACTCCCAGGCCGTACATGCTGTATACAAACAAACATGTTTTACATTATCGTCAAATAAAAACTCAAAAATTATCTCACTGCTGAATAAGTTAATTGGAAACGAAATTTGAACCCGTTCACATTTTATTTTTTGCTACAACTTCCCAAAACCTAAATCCCTAAAAAAAATAATGTAAAACTTGCCAAAAAAATTCCAATTGTTGCTCAGATAATTCATATAATAATAGATATTGAAATATACAATAAAAACATTGTTTATACTTTATAATGCATTGCATGTTAACTAAGAATTTGGCTTCTTACTAACAAAATCATTATAGAGTTCATGTGAAAATTCTAATAAATAAGATGACATTGTTACAAGATTTTGTAATAAGCGTGTTTGTAGTAAACATATTTCATTGTATTCACTTTTTCTCAAATGATATATCATTTAAAAAAACTTTTTCTGCTGTTAATGCATCAATAAAATATCTTATATTGATACTAATAATTAATAACCTTTCGGTTTTGTTTTACGAGCTGTATAATCTGATAGAAGACTTTCCGCCATAGAACATCTTCAGCTTTCCTCCCATACTCAAGGGGGTTGTAGAACATCAGTCTCTCACTGTATTCTTTTAATCTGAATAATTTAAAAAAATGTGTGAATGTTTCTATTAAAATATACACAAACTTCATTCTTTTTGACATCTTGGTGTACAGATCAACAAACAGTCAAAATAATTTCCGAAGATATAACCACGATATACTGTCCACAAAATTTCTCATTCGCATATAGAGTCTGTATGGCGATTATTAAAGACGTTAATAACCCTGACACATCATAAAATTGATTATTCATGAAATTGACACACAATAGCGTAACCCTGAAAGGTCAATGTATTTCCGCCTCACTTTGAATATCAGGGGTCGACACTAACACTAGTCTGTTAGTCCTGGACTAGTAGATTTCAGCAAGGACTAGTGAATCATCTAACCTATCTGGTCCTCTGACTTGTGAAAAATATGATTATAAAATAAGAATATTCCGTTTTAGAAAACTGCTAAAAATAGATAAATGTCAAAAACATTCCAAAACCTTTACCATATATTTATGGCAGTTGTTATTTTAAGTCCCCTACTTTTGATGTTTCGTGCTGTAGATCGTGATGTTTCCTTATCAGGTAATCTTGGACAAGTTACATTGACGAAGGACTAGTAAATAATATATACAACTAGACCAGTGGACTACCAAGCAAACACAGTTAGTGTCTAACCCTGTAATATTCCTGACATCACCAACCAATGATAGAGTGACCCAGATTTTGAAGAAAATGCTCAAAAATATGTTAAAATCTTTGTTTCATGGTGCTTTTATTTTATATAAATTTGATGGGGATAACCCTACTGTATTTTGAAATTTGCAGCAGTATATTGCAATTATACTGTTGCAAATAAAATTTTATTGTAATATAAAAATCATAAAAAAACACTTTCGGGAAGATATGTAGGTTATACAACATCCTATTTATCAGGTACACCTACTTATTACGTAACCCAACAGCATCTTGAGTAAACACCTCCCGGTAGGCCTTTCTCTGCTTCAATACTTCATCAAGACGCTTGATCGCCTCTACAGCAGCCCTGTGAAAACAAACAAAGACAGATATATTATATCAACAGAGAAGATCTAGAAACAACATTTACATCTGTGCTAAAATTTATATATGCATTTTTTTTAATACAGCAGGGAAAGATGCAGCTATAACAAAAAAGAGACAGTTGCTGTGATCTTGGATCTTTGCAGCTGTACAAAGGGATGCCATAGCCAGCATGCTTGAAAATTAATTAAAATCCAGAAAGATTAGCATTCTTCACATGTAACATATTAGGAAATCGGTATCAGGCTAGACTGGTACATTAACCTCCAAAATATATCCACCACTAAAACAGTATGGCATAAACTATGTGTATAAGTATTTATTAATGTGGCAGATTTTAATTGTACATAGGATTACGATTGCCTTCTAGCTTTGCGCTAGAGGGAGTTTCCTTTTAGCTCAGTGTAGAGTGTCCGACAAAGAAGCTAGTCCAGAATTGTGGGTTGATCCATAGTGGAAACACACTACTCTCTTTCCCGTTACAAAAGGTGTTCCTGGCCCTACCTGTGGTTACAGTGAGTTTAGCATGAGTTTCCTCTGGCCCTAACACCAGACTTAGACATTTTGACATAGCTGCCTGGTGTGGGACCAGAGCGCACTGCTATATGAAAATGTGGAATTCTGTTTGAGGGCAACACATTTCAAAAGGGGGCAGTATTGTGGCAGATTTTAATTGTACATAGAATTACAGTCACCTCCTAGCTGTACGTTCGAGGGAAATTCCCTTTAACTCAGTGGTAGAGTGTTGGACTAGGAACCTAGGGGTTGTGGGTTTGATCCCCGGTGGAAGCATTCTACTCTCTTTCCTGTTACAGTAATACAAAATAGTGTTTGTACATCGGGTATGTTTTTGTGTGTCAAAAACGTGTTTATCATTAATCTATAACCGTCTTAAAATTAGATCTAGAACACAGGCATTTGTTTCTGACAATAAAAATAGGCAAATGAGTAGGTGTGTTAATAATCTAGAATAGACCTGTAGACCGGTTGCAGTTTGGCATCAATTAACACATTGCTTTTCATTTACAGAGCGTAAATTTGGCCGTATGGTGTAAAACAGGAGATAAATGTTAAAATCAAGCATAATTTCTATAAAGGTCATAGCATTAATTAAACTTTAAAGAGGATGTTTAAAACAATTTCAAGTCAAAACATTGGAAATAATTATTTTTGTCTCGCACCTATACACCCTTTTGGCTTTATCGACGTCCGGTTTATTTTCGTTACTGCTTTCGTGTGTTTTCTTCATCTCTCTCGCGAGGTAAGGCGTACGGCAGACGACTCATACCATCGAGTTGTCGCCAGCTGTCTACTAAAGACAGGTATTCCAGTAGTTCTTAGTTATTTCAGATGCCATGTTTTTTATCTGTTCGCTTTATGGAGATGTATCGTCCTAAATCATCACACAGTCTAGAGGACATCCGAGTAGAGATGTGAGAGGCGGGAGATAACTCTCGGCTGTAAATAAGGTAAAATGAGTATATTTTCATAGAAAATAAAAACCGTTTCTAAAGAGGGAATTTTTAAATATAAAATATGATTATAATATTTGTCTTTTTCCTAAAGTTAGACTGTTTCCAAATGAAGATTTAAAGCACATCAACCTCTGCAATTTTCAAACGCGTTCGCAAATAAATAAATAGATAGTGGGTGTTCTGCAGCTAACACATTAAACTGCCTCAGTAGCACTATCAAGTTACCGTGTACAGTTCACAACAATGATATACTATGGAATGAAATGGGTAAATATGGACATATAGGGAAATAATAAGGTGTGAAAATCTTGAACGTATAATTGTTTACGTATAGGACCATGCAAGCTTCCAGCGTATTGGTATTAATAAGAAAACTGACTTCAAGGGTAGTTTCCAGTATGATTTAGGATCATTAAAAGTATACTGATAAACAAGTCCATGGACATTTTCATAACAAAAAAATATCGAGCATGTTTCTTCATATTGTTCACTTTGCTGCGATGAGCTTTAATTTAAACATTTTTATATCGTGTTGTGGTAAAGCTGAGCATGCTTTTTTATGTGACCTGTCACGAATCGTTAATATAAGGTCCGATTGGTGTTTCTTTGGTAGAAATCTAACTCATCTGTTCGAAATCATAATATCGACTAGACCCGTATCTCATGATTATGTTTCCCCGTGCACAAAAAATGAGAAACGCCCCCTTTGATCTTACTATAATCTGCATGTTCATATTTCGAAAATTTGCTTAAAGCCATCACTGGTATGACCATTTTTTATTGTATCATATGCAGGGGCGTTTCTAGGATATTTGAAAGAGGGGGCGTAGAATCCAATCTTTGGACCTTTTCTTTGCTAAAAAACATAAAATAATTGCGAAATGCACTAATGTAACGGTTCCTGACTTGGAGCATGTATATTTTAAATAACGATATTTTTTTTTATTTTTTTTTTAAAGGGGGGTGGGGGGTGGGGGGCGTACGCCCATTACGCCCTCACCTGGACCCGCCCCTGCAGATGGATCCTATACGCGCATATATCCGCCCTAAAACCTATAACAATAATGCTAGTAACAAATCAATCTACAATTGTTATTCGGAAGACCTTTAATTGGTGAAAAAAATTACAATATATGGTATATTTACATTCAAACAATTCATATTATATATTCAGACCTCACACGACTCATATATACTCTTACTTACATCAGTTGATATATTAGACACAAGTACATGTAATGGTACCCATGTACACATATATTGCCTTTATGAGAACAGAGAGAGATAGAGAGAATAGAAAAGAAAAAGAAGGAAAAAGAAATAGCAATGAAAAACGGAGAAGGTCAACAGAAAGAGGAAGAAAAAGGAGAAACTAGTTTTTGCACTGCAGCTCAATACTAAACAAACTTTATGTTTAGAATAAGATTATAAGATAATCTTCTGTATTAATTGTAAGTAAGGTGCTTTCGGCTTTAAACTGCAAGTAAATACAGCCAGCCATATAAAGGTGGCTGAGAAATGAGGGTAATACTCAGGACAAAATATATTTATATCATAAAAGAGATTAACTTTAATAAGTTCAAACAGAAACATCAACTTAAATTCACAAAAAAGGGACAAAAAATATATATTTGGAGTTCAGGCAAGATTCAATACAGGTATGGTAAAAGGGACATACATGTAACTGCCAAAAAAAAGTCCTTGTGAAAACTTAGTGTGTGCTGGCTACATGTATGTGCATCAGTGTATTTTCAAAATATAAAAAGAGAACTATACTGTGGGAGGAGATGTATTGTATCTGCTGACTTGATGATATCAAATTATTTAATTTTGGCTTATNATAAGGAGACAATACAAAGCTCTTTTACGCGCTAGTTCGACATCATTTAGAGTACGCTGCACGTGTTTGGAGCCCACACAAAGTTAAGGACATCAATCTACAGAATTACTCCCATTAGAGAGACTATGCCGATTGAAGCTTCAAACTCTAACATTCTGGAAAGATCTTGAGTTGAAGTACGATATTATATATAGGCTTATTCTATACTTACCACAATGTATTTCAAACTATATTGATGTGGATATAAAGGCAGCAATGCGTCCACTAATATCCTATTAAATCCTATTAAAAATTAAGATTTGCATAAAAATGTGTTGACTCATCATGGGGAACAGTCAGAACTGTTCCGAGTTGTTGACGGTGACCTGGTCGTTCTTCAATTCGTCCTAGGTATCTCGAAACAACAATTTTGACTGTTCCTCATTCAACTTATAATTAGGTAACTAAACCGCTGTTCTATGTCTGATTTGGGAATAATGAAAACTGTAACCCGTCGTTGCTGATGAAGACCTGGTAAATGTTTGCCCGATGCAAGACAAACTAATAAGCATGATAATAAAATCGTCGAAATTTTCACAAAAAGGTCATGATGTTGCCCATAATTCTTGCATATAGTTTTCATCAATCTGTGTCTCTGTCTCTCTCCATGTGTTTTAAGTTTGTCCTAAAACATATCTATCAGACATCTATTACGGAAATTGTGGTACGGGCAAGTCCATGAATAGGAATCTACTGCGACAAGTAAAACGATAAGTTGGAGATGCTACTACCAAGAAATGCCAAGTTCAAGACAGGAAATTCGATAACCATACATTTTAATAGTAAGCCGTCTCTATGATTGACATGTTAAATGTAAAGATCGATATACGAGTCTATAGTGTCATTGATTTCTAGAAAGGGAGGGGGTGAACACGTGGTAAATATATTTCTTGTTATTACAAATAATAAAGTAAAATAAAATAAACAAGAAAATACTGAATTCTGAGCAAAATCGTAATTTGAACTCAAATTTGATTAAACAATGGTACAATATGAATAAATGAAAATTTAGCTGTAGGTCATAAGACTTTGGTTCCCTAGTGCGCTTTTGTTTCATTGACGGTACCCGCCATGTACTAATCTCACGTCCGCAAAGCGAGAAAATGCCCAAATAGGCAAAACAAAAAACATCAAAGGTCATATCATACATACGTCCCTTTGAAAAAACTAAAATGCCAATTGTATTCGGAATTTCTTTGACGCAACGCATCGTCAATGTATCTGGATGTGAAATGAAAGGACTTGTCCTCAGTGGTATACCAACTGTCTGCTGGATTTTGTTTAGAACTTTACAAAAACATCATTTACAGAAGTGGCTCATTCCATTTCCTCCCGACGTATATTTCGTAAATATGCAAGGGATTTCTACGGTGTTTACAAGTCGCAGTTGATTCGTACGCAAGAACTAAATGGTTGATGTCAGCTGCTAATGAACAACTTTCAACACAGGGTAACCAATCATGTACACGTCCTTAAATGAGTTGTTGAAAGGTCGTTAAACTCTATCAAACCACAATTAATTCAAAAACGCAGTTCCTTTGAAGACTACGGACAAGTTTTATGACCGGCATTATGATGTAATATTTGAAATAGGCTATAATGTGTGTGATATGATGGTCGCAGGTCGTTGTTTTTATCTTTGCTAATTTGGTGTACCTTGCTGTTTCTTGTTGTAACAACTCTAGTTTCGATGTGAGGACGTGAAATCAGTTGAATTTGACCTAGATGTACATGGCTAATTTCGTCAATGAAGTATTAAACGCTTATCCTTCCGGAACAACTGGTCTTATTCCCTTGATTTTTTTTCAGGAGTCCCCATGTAAATATGTTCTTGTTTTATATTGTGTCCTACTCTTCCAAACTGAGATTCGAATTACTATTTTGTTACCACTCCTTATTCTCTGTGAATTGTTCACAGCCACGCATTTGTATCGGCGTTCGTCTCTCAAATGAGAGAACGAAAACGTCCCTTTATTTAGGTAGGAAGTGTGGTATTGTACGGAATAAAACAAGTTTTCCTGTTTAATTAGGAGGTATATTTCAACACTTATGAATTATTTTCTGACTTGAGACCGCATGATGCAGATTATTCTGCTACGACGTAGTGCCACGTTCTCATAATTTAGAAACGCCATTCAAGACGTAAACTTGCCGCTTGTACCAAATCCCTTTTTCTATGGTGATA